TATAAAAAAAAAGTTTCAGTGATGGAAAAAGTTTGTTTAAATATGTAAAAAGTAATTTATTGAATAAAGAATTTTCTTTTAAGTGAATCTTTCGGGTTCTTAAGAGAAAATTTTCTATGCATAATAATAAAATTTTCATATTTTATATTTTGTTATTTATTTATGTTTGTTAATTTAAAGGCAATTAATTTCAATTACCAAACATTACTAATAATATTATTAATAAAATACATGTAATTAAAATCTATAATTATATAGGATTTACATTTTTAATAAAAATTAGAATTTTTATTAAAGTAAGTGAATGCCTCTTAAAAAAACGACGAATACTCAATGAAGTAGACTACATAAATACAGTTTACTAGTTTATAGAATTAAAAAATTAAATTTAGATTCATTAAATTGGTAGAGAAAACTTTACATGCTTTTTAATAATCTGCATGTTCAATACTTGGTTAATAAAAGGTTTTATTAACCTTTTTGGAAAATAAAAGGACTAGTTAAATGAAGATTATGAAGTTTGTCAAGCACACACAAAAAAAAAAAATGATGATCAATTTTTTTTGTTTGTACTTTTTTTAAAAAAAAAGTACAAAGACCGTCAGAAAAAAAAATTGATAAAAAAAAATCAACTGGAAAGAAAAAAAAAAGGTTTTTTTTTTGGGGAGAAATGAAATATGATTTTGATGAATTTTGTAAAAGAAAATTTTATACATATAACAATAAAATTTTCATGTAATTAATATATTGTATAATTTTTTGTATTATAAACATTTGTTTATGTTTGTTAATTCAACAGCAATATGTATTAATTGCTGAATGTAACTCTAAAAAAAAAACAAGTAATTTACAATTAATTAATAATCAATGTTCAATAAGGATTTAAATTTTTAATAAAAATAAGGATTTTTATTGAAGTAAATAAATTTCTATTGAAATTAAAGAATGCTGAATGAAGTAGATTACATAATTAAGGATCACTCGTTCAAAGCATTTAAAAATATATATAAATACATCAAAACCGTAGAGTCAACTCTACATGCTCTTTATTAATTTGTTTTTTCAGTACTATCAAAGTTAATAAACACGCAATTAATAAATCATAGAGTTACTGATTTTGAAAAGGGATCTTTGAAACAAATAAATATTTATTAATGAGGCAAAGAGACTTATAATCTGTTCAAAAAGATAAAATTGTTGTGTAACAAAATCAATCTGATTTATTAGATATAACATTAAGAATTAACTTATGTAAATAAAAATTGTATAAAAAGAGTAAATCCTTACATACTAAAAATTAAGATATATTGTTCTATTTATAAAAAAGGAAGCTACATATTTATTTATGAATAATTTTGAGTTGCATTAATAGATAAAAATGTAAAAAAAAGACTAAAAATTATAGGAAAATTCAAAAAAACATGATTCATAAAAAAAATTTCATAATTAATCCCTAAATTGTTTGGTATAATTAATAAAAATGTGCATTAAGTTGCTTAAACCTGAACTTCGCATACAAAATGATGTTCTTTGAATTTAAAAGGAAAATGAATTAATTGTAATTTTATTTTTTTCTTTATATTATATTTATATGTAAATGTCATTAATTTATCACAAAGACAAAATAAAATAATAACTTATTTTTATAATGTAACTTTTTTTTTTTTTATTTTTAAAATATCGTTATAGGACTCAGAAAAAAATACTTCCTTTTTAATATTTTTTTAATAACACAAATAAAAGAAATACAATGTATTTTTTTTTTTTTAGTGTATGCATATAAATGTGTACATTTCTCGTGTATTTTGGCATGTACAAATAAAATATTTTTACTCATCTAATTCTTTTAAATATTATTTAAAGTAGATCAATAATATTATTTATAGACCAGATATATAATTTGTTAATACTTTTCTAAGAATATAGTATTGTAGTGAATACAAAAAGTAATTAAAAGCAAGTATATGGTCACTACTAATTTTTTTAATATGAAAATACTTCTTGAAACTAATATGTAATCTTTACATAATTACATTTGTAACATTAAATAAATAGTTTGTTTTCTATAAAATTCATAAAAATTTAAATAGAAATTTATTAATTCAATATTTTTGTTATTTTAACATATTAACTATCTTATTAGATACTTATTTAGATTTATAAAAATTTTTCATTAAAAATACAATATGCATAAGAAACTTTTATCATATATTAAATTAAATATAGCCAATGTTATTCCTATCTCGTAGAAAAAAATGCAATTCATTAGTTTTACTCATTAATTATCAAAAGTTATTTAAAAAAAAAATGTTAACAAAAAAAAAATATAATTAAATATGAACAAATCTAATGTCGCAAAAAAAAAAAAAAAAAAAAAAGCTTTTTTTTTAATAATATGCATATATATACATCATTTTAACCTAAACTTGTATGGAACTTCCTTAACTACCTAGCATAAATAGATAACTTTTTGCTTTATTTTACATTACCATTTATAAGATTTAAAAAGTTTAATAATATTACATATTTACAAACATAAAACATACGAATAATGTGTTACACAAAGTACTAAGGCAAATAATAAAAATATAAAGATTATTTTTATTAATTGCTATATAAGGACTAAATATTAAATATATTTTTATATAATTAAACTTCAAAGAACTTAAACATTCATATCATTATAAAAAAATTATTTATGATAACAAAAGCAATTGTGGTTACTCTACACGTTCTTTATTAATTTGTTCGTTAAAGATTCTTACATGAGTCTTGTACGGATAAATTCATAAATTTTTAGGTTAATTTTAATATAAAATAAATATAAAGCTAACTTATATATATAAATATTATAGTAAAGTAATAAACTTTATTATCCTTATAACATCCATTTTTATATTAAAAATAGATTCATTTTTTAAAAATATTTATTTAAATTTTTAATAAGAGTCATATATAATAGTAAAAAGCATATTTTTATTATTAGTAGAATTTTCATATAAAAAAAATTTTACAATTATTTGTATTAAATAATTACTTTTTATAGTCTTCATGATATTTAAAATAAAAAGACTGAAAGTTGCAAAAATAATTTAATTATTTTACTGATTATATAAAGTATAACAATTTTTCTATGGTTTATTTTTTTAATACCAATGATATTTTATTCCTATAATACTATAATTTATACATATGAAAATGAAATAAGTTAAATATAAATATATTAAATTAACATTACCAATTTATTATTAAAATAGAAAAAGAATAGAAAAAACTAAATGTTTCTAATTAAAGGACTAAAATATATATATATATATATATATATATATATATATATATATATAACATACTCAAAAAAATGAATTTATAGCATTTTTTCCGTTATAATCATAAAATAAAGAAAAATATACATAAATATTTGATTATTAAAAATATATACTGTGAAAAAACTATATGTATATACAATTAAATTATTTGATGTATATGGTAGAAAAACCTTTTTTTAATTAAAAAAGTTACTATTTTACTTTTCTGATCATTTAGATGAAAAACAAATTATATTGTACATAATTCTCTTAGAAAAAATCAATAAAATGTTTTATATTAACTAAAAAAATCTGAATTGTCATTTTTTTATAATTATATAATCACTTTAATTTTCATGTTATCATTGTTTTTATTTTATAATTTTCAAATGTAATGTACTTTATCAAAATATTGAATTCATTAAGAATTTTGTTGCATCTTTAAATACTTAAATTGCAATTATAATTATATAATGTATGCTATGGTTTCGTACAATGTGTGTTAAAATTAATATTGTGTTTACATACAAAACTGATATTATTGATTTAAAGAAAATAGATATTCCTTCTATTATATATGAGGATTAATACATAATTTTTTTTTTTTTCATTTTTAATAAAGTTTTTTCTTGGTGTTTAATTTTTCCTTTATATATAAAGAAAATTTATATAATCATATATTAAAAGATTAATAACTTGTAAAAAGTTAAAATTTTTTTTTTGATATTATCTTTAATATAAAAATATAAAATAGTAATTTTATTTATATTAGGAATTATAAAATTTACAAAAATATATACATATATTCTTACTAAAAAAAGCGCTTAAAAAATTTTTTTAATTTTCTTGAAAGAATATTTTTGTTATATTCCTTGTTGTAATGTTTTATATTAATAGTATATGTATATATATATATATATATATATTTTTATGTATACATATTTTTTCGTACATGCAAATTTAATAAAAAAAAAAATTGCTTTTTGATTTCTAGTTATAAGTACAAAAAATATTTTTTTTTTTTTTGTTATTTTTTTCTATTAAATAATGCCAATAATAAAAATTTTCTATAATTATTATTATTTATCATAGAATGGTTAGAATTTTTATTTTCATATTTATATAAAAGCGGTATGTTATTTTTTTTTCTAATTATTTCAACATTCTAACTGAAAAAATAAAAGTAACTATAATACCATAAATATATTAAATTTATTTTAATAATATAAATTTTTTTTAAATATTGAATACTAATTAAAATTAAGAAAAGTAAAATATGTTAATTACAATATAAATAATATAAAATGAAAAAGAAATAGTTATTTTACAAAATTATTTCCCTATTAAACATAAAATATTTTTATGTGAATTTTTTTGACGAAAATTTAAAACTTTCATTTGAACAAATTTTTTCTTTTACTAAAAACATATTTGAATTTAACAAATACATTTATATTATAGAAGGTAGAAAAAAATAAAGGCATTATAATAAAATTTGCAAAAATTAATCATTATCACATATGTATTATTTCAATAAATAAAATATTATATTTGCAAATTTTTTTCATTATTTTTTCCTGTAACTTTTAAATTATAATAAATATTTTTAGATAGATTAACATTCCTTATTTATAGAAAAATAAAAGATAACTGCTTAATAAATTTTTTGTCACTTTAAAATTATAGAAATTGAAAATGGATGGGAAATCAAATAGCTCAGCTGGGAATTCTATTAATCCTTTAATGTCGAATTGCCAAACTTATGAAATGGCAATGTATATTGCAGTTATATTAGTTGCATTTACTGTTATATTATCTTTAATTTGTATGTTGTATCAAGCATCTAGTCTTGTAAGATAAATTAATGAAATTATATGTGAATTATTTTCATTTGGTAAATTTTTTATTTAAATGAAATATATCAGATAAAAAAAAAAATTTTTTTTTTATTAATTTTTAATTTGTTATATAGAAAAAAGAGTTAAAAGAATACAACATGTGGTATAGAAAATTTGATGAACATTTAAGGAGTAAAAATGGAGATGGCATAGAAGCAACGGATTCAGTATATATAGTTAATTCAGAAAAGGAATTGTTATTGGGAAGAAATAATAAATGTGAAGATTCAGAAGATGAATTTAACATATAAAATAACAATAGGAATTTTTTAAAATAAATATAATGTTTTATTTATTTTTTCATATATATATGAATACAGAAAAAATATATCTATAACACATTTAAAGGTTCAGTTTTTTAAAAATTTTTAATTCCTTTAATATGTTAATTGAATGATCAATGGATTTTATAGATCATTGAAAATATAAATTAATAAAGAATTTAGAATGGTCCAAATTCACTTTTCTTTATTTTAGAAATACGTTTGTAATGGATGAGCTTTATGTAATTACATTACCTAACATGAAATAAGTAGCTTATTTTAAATGACGTTTATAATTTTATAAATAAAAATGATTTAATATATTTTTATTACTATTACAAGCTAATTATTTTACAGAAGACATATATTTGTTTTAATAAAAAAAATTTCTTATTTTATTAATACTTTAGTTTTTATTGGAAAACCTTTGATTGTATATAAAGTAATTTTTAAAATTTAAATTTAATTATTTGTAAAAAAAATTAAACATTTTTATCAAATAATAATAATACAAAATAGATTATCAAAAAATTTTCCCATTTTTATTTTTTTAAGAATGTAAAAGAAAAAAAGAACATTTTTTTTTATATAAAAATTTATGTTATAATTTTTTATTGCTATTAAAGCATTGCTATAGGTATCCTTTGTGTGTAATTGATTCTTTATTTTATATACATATTACAAGTTATATTATTTAAAGATGCTATTAATACTTTTTGTTGAGTAGTATTTATATTTTTCTTTAATTAGTATTCTATTAATGCTTAAAGAAGTATATATTATAATTAATATTTAATTTATATGGTACTCTAAGAAAAATTAAACAAAATTATTAAATTTCTCTAACAAAAACAGTAGTAATTTAATTATATATATATATACATGAGACCATTATATGTATTGGTGTAATTATTATAAAAATAAAAATTTTTATTATTTTTATATAGATGTAGTTTGATATATTTCCCTTTATAAATAAATATAGAAATTAAGCTATATATTTTCTTAATTAATACTATTATCATTTTTAGAAATATCATCTTATGATTTATTAATTGGCCTTTGATGGACTTTTTTAATATAATGAATAGTAAAACATATAAAACGAGTATAGGGCGATCTCTACCAATTTTATTTATGGCAAAAGTGCTCATAACTAATATGTAATTTTTATATAATTTCTATGAATAATATGAAATAACTTATTCCATGACATTATAATTATTTATATAAAATATATTAATTTTCAATATTTTATTTATTCTTAAAGTACTATTTGTTCTATAAATAGTATTATCAGATTTTTTGAGTTATTAACAACACACAAGAATAGCACAGATTTTTAACTGCATATGTATAATATTTGAGATAATGTATATATTTATATATAAAAAATATAGGCACATATATATATATATATATATATATATATATATATATATATAAAATTTTTAATGTAAAATTTTTCTATTTATTTTGGGGAAACTTTTTATCCTTTCAATTTTTTTTACAAAGGCGTTTTTTTTTATTGATAATTAAAAAAAAAATAAATAAATAAAAATAAATGATATTTAAGGATATTTTTTTTTCCTATAGAGTTGTGAATGGTTTTTAATAGTAAAGTATAATGCATTTTTATAAAAAGAATGATATTTTTATAAAAAATAATTTTATGTATGGATATTTATTAATTGCCATCAAATGAGGTGTGTTGAATATGTTAAGATTATTCTTAGATTTTTTTTATTAACACGTATAAAATTTTCATTGTGTAAAAATATAATAAGACTTAATCTAGTACATATATTATTGTTAATTTTAAGAGTCATACAAAAGAAGACTATTTTATAATTAGTAAAAAGATTTAGAGAATATCCCACAAACTCTTTATTATTTTTTTTAATCATTATTTATCAAAAGTAACTAAATAGTGGATTAATAAATCAATTAACGACAAAGTATTTTAATCTGAATGAACATAATCAACTGAATTAAAAATATTCTATTATGAAGAGAAATATGTAGAGGTGAAATTTGAAAATTTTCAATGAAGCAGGAAATTTAAGTAATTCTCGTAAGTTCAATCAGAATAAAAATGACTATACATTTAATGTGAAAAATTTTTGAGGGATTATCAAGTTTTAATGAAGTATCCTTAGAAGGATATTTTAAATACCTAAAATAATTTGAATAAAAAGTAGCATTTCTGAAGTGATCAAAAATTGTAGTTTATATACTATGATTATATTATTAATGCTTATATTAGATACTTATTAATATTTTCTTCCTGTAAAAAAATAATAAATATGCTATAATTGAAAATCAAGTTATATAGATATATGTTTACGGTTTAGATGGAAAATATAAGATGTATCACAATTTCATCAGCATAGAAACATAAAATAGAGTTTTTGAAGAAGTAAAATCATATATTAATAATTGCAGTATATATGTCTAGAGTTTTGTATCTTTTAACGAATCTAATAACATCAATAAATCTTTGTACAAGTTTTAAACGAAGATATCTAGTATATCTAAGATGTTAAATTGCACAAAATAAAATCCGAGAAAAAATATTCTTGCAGTTACGAAATATATGAAGGAATTAGAAAAAAATATATGCTAAGAAGTATAGGATAGTGGAAGTGAATATATGTTTTCTGAATAAATATAATGATCAAATGATGCAATATAATGTGACTCTATTTCTTATTAATACCGTTATAGAAAAAATAGTTATGTAAAAAAAAAAATCCATTTACCATAAAAAAAAAAGATGAAAAGTTCAACAAGATTGATCATTTAGTATTTGTATGTAAAAATAAAGTTTTAAGAGGTAAAAAAGATTCATTACATGATATAACTAATAAAATATACAATATTAGTTTATTCCCATTTAAAATGAGATTAGTATGCAAAAATTAGACCTAATTCAAAAGTGTTCAAACAAAAAGATAATTCATTTCAAGATATGATTTATGAAGTATGTATTCAAAAACTTTTATGATGTTTTTAATAGTTAATAAATAGCATGTAGAGAAATATTTACTCATTTTGTTCACTGTAATATTAATTATAGCAAATATGGTCTATAAAAAATATTATAGGACAATTTTAAGTGATACTCAAAATAAGCAAAAATGTTTTTACTTGTGCATACCAAAAATACTGGGGAAAATGTTCATTTCTAAACACTTACATTAAAAAAAAAGCAAAATCACAAATATTATTAAAACTGAAAAAAAACTATCGCACTAAATGTACATACAAAAAAATAAAAAAATTCAATATATCTATATTTTTTCTGAGGTTTTATTATAATGGCTTAAATTTTTTAATAAAAAAAATAATTGTTTTATTTTTTTTTTTTTTTTTATGGATGATTAAAAACGTAATGTTAAAAAAAGTAAATTTATAGAGTGCTATATAAATTAACTTAAATAATAATTAACTAGTGTTATTAATATTTCATATTAACAAAAGTAAATAATCCACATAAAGTTTTAGTTTATTTTAAATAAGATAAGTAAATTTTTCTTTATATGCTCTTTATTAACTTGTTTGTTCAATACAAGCAAAGTCAATGAACATATGACTAATAAATCATTGAGTGACAAATACAGGAATTTTAAAACCGATACAAATATAACTCTATTGAATTTACAATTTAATCAAAATTAAAGAAAAAGTTGCAAATTTTGGATTATATATTTTGTAAGAAATATTTAGTTTCTACAATTTTTATGTATTTAAGAAAAAGAAGGATAAGGAGTTTACTATAGTAAAAGTACCAAGACTACCAAAATTCAATGAGAAATCAATAGAAGTTTATTATGAATAGTTTTTAAATCTTTAAAAAAAAGAAAATTACTAGGATTATCTAAAGAGAAGATTTGTATTATACTAGAATTTTTGATGACAGAAATCCATTCATAATATACAGTTGATTTGTCTTTGAAACCATAAGTTAAAAATATTCTGCAATAAAAAATTGAATAATCTATATTATTATTCACTAATAATAATGATCAGTTCATACAATTATGTAAAATTTATAATTAAGAAAGAGAAACAAATGCACTAAAGGGCAAAGATAACTTTATCAAAGACCATAAGGTATACTTTTATAGTTGTTTCTGTTCTAATAAACCAATAGAGTATCTAGAAAGGACTTTTGTAAGTATGTTATGAGGAAAATTTCAAGTAAATATTTTATAAAGATAAAACATGGCATAACAGTAAATTAAAATTTTAGAAGAATTATGACTCAGATGTTATAATTATAAAATGAAGATTCAAATGTTAATACATTACAAAAAAATATCGTAAAATCAATATAAAATGAATATAAAAGAGAAAAGATAATAAATTTGACTAAAGTAGTAAATAAACGTTACTACTATAGAAAAAAAGTCAATCTTAAGAAGGATTGTATACATAGAAATAGTAAATGTAACAATTGTAATATGACAAGTCATTTAGCATCAATATGTAAAAATAATATAATCAAGGATTTAGAGAATGAAATTAGAAGCTCAGTAATTGATAAAAAGTATAATGTTAGTTTTAAGTTAATTAAAAAAGGAACGGTTTTAAAAAAGATTTAGTTAATGCTAATATATTTGAGCATAAAAAAAAACGTATTTAAAAAGAGAAGGAAAAGGAAAAAGAATAACAGTGAAGTAGTAAATCAGAGGAAAAAGATGAAGAATTAAAAGAAACAATGGAACAAGGGAAAGACATATGATAAATAAGTAAAAATGAATCATGTGTTAATATATTACGAAATGATTAGAGCATTAAAAGATTTTGTGTAAATTCTGAACAAACAGTTGAAGCAAATAGAAAAAAAATACGCGTCCCATTAGATAATGGATCTTAGATATTGGTCAATAAGTTGTATTATACATCTATTTTATATAATATCTAGATAAATAAATAGAATAAAAATAATTTATTTTGTATGTACTAAATCTTGTGGACAAGGT